AGCTCAGAGTGCACCATTTCTGTAGTATGTATGTATTGCCATTTCTGCTTTTTATGGTTAAGTTAGACAGTGATGATGTAGGAAAGGACAGATCAAGCCTGTGATGCCCCAAAAGAAGCAGTCATTTGTACAGATTGCAGCATATCTTAAATGATTTTGCTTTCCTGGCCTCTAGGAAGACACCCCCCCCCAGCTTGAGACAAAATACAGATTGAGATGTTTAATCACTGAAGCTTATGGGGCTAAGCCAAAGTCCGTTAACCCACGTGAGAAAAGCTGGCTGCTTCCAGGCAGCCTCAGAACCTAAGATAAGAAAGAGCCTCCTAAGCCATATACAACTCTCCAGTCTTCGAAGCCAAGGGAGCTTTTTCATCATTTATTTGCAGGCGCCCTTATACTGGTGAAGTGAGGAAGGGATTCTCTCCTGAAATGGACCACTTAACCTCTTCAGAGCCCAGGTCTCCAAGTGTTGGAGCCAGCACCCAGTTTTTCAGTGTGTACCAACAACATCTGGGAACACCTAGCCCATCCAACTTCCCACTGTAGCATCTTTGAGCTGGACTCAGAATCTTTTAGGCATGCGGAGAGTAAATATAACAAACACCCCTTTTCTTTTAAGGCTAAAATAAACAATAAGATGCAGTTAACATGAACTTTTATTACAAATATGAGCGGGACTAGTATCCATTTGGAAATTTAAAAGTAAAAAAAAAGCACCTCTAACTAGAAACAAAAGTGTTCATTTTTCTGATAAGCATAATTTATTGTATTTCCATTGTAACAAAAACACTGTATGTACTTCAGTGGGGGTGAGGCAAAAGGAAGAAAGCTTTTTGCCGAATCTCTTTTCTGTCTGTAGAATGAAACAATATCATGTGTAAGAAACTGAAGATGAGAACACAACAAAAACACAACAATCTTTTTATTTATGTAAATTAGATTAACACTGGACAATAAACCAATTTCTACCCAATACCATAACAGCTTGTCTATAAAGAACAAAAAAAATTCAGTTAGGAGTCTACCTAGGGTCAAGCGGTTTTTTTTTTTTCTTTTTTAACCACCCATTCACAGAGGTATAGATTCACAGATAAATAATCCCAAACTACTTGCTCATCATATTTACACATTCCCATTAAATTAAGCATAAATAAATATATACAAACTTAACACGGGTACCCTCCAGAGTGCTCTTAAAGAAGAGGCAGTTGGTGTTTCTTGACTGGGTGGTAAAAACAATGTTAGTGAATTAGAGACCAACTCAAAGGGGGAATAAATTTGACATCTAAAGAATGGTGTTCACTCTGTTTCCCCCCCCCTTTAAGAAAATGAACGAATTTCACTACTTCTCTTTCTTTTCACCAATAGTTTAACGCACACCATCAAAGGAGGGAAACACTGTGGGAGCTCTTGAGGCAGGGCTGGGTGGTATAAGGTCATCATTTCCTTTTGACAATGTAATGCAAGTACAGGATATCAGGTGTGATGACTTCATTCTCTAACTAGGGGTGGGTCTTGTACGTAGATAAGTGAGGGGCTTGTAGATAAAACGGACTTTTCCATTCGACCAAAGTTTTCATAGAATATGAAATAATTGCCAATGAGAAAGTGGTTTCTTTGGCCAGTGAAAACAGAAGTCAGATCTTTGAAAGCCTCTTGGGCTCTTTATATGGGGGTGGAGAAATCTAGAAGAAAATGCAAGGGAAGTCGGGGAAAGGGAGAGAAGAAAGTTAACTTCCTAGTTGCAAAGGAAGTTAAAGGTCCCTGGAGATGGACTCTTCACCTAGAAACAAACTCCGTGAAACCCAGAATGCAAATAGAAGGCGGGATTTCCTAAGAAGGGCTGGAAGAACCTCCAGGGAACTCGGCTGCCATGGGCTTACTCCAGTCTAGCTATTTTAGTTTGGGACCCCAGGACTTTGTAGGGGCATAAAACTTCTAGAGAGTGCAGGGGCTAGGAGGGGACTGCAAGTCACCTGTTTGGTTTGAAAACAGAACTCAAAGGGTCTGGCCTTAAACGTTTTCCTTGACTTAAAAGGCAAACTCTTGTGTTAATCCTACTGTTTATTGATTTATAAGCCCAAGGAAACCAAATCTTTTAATAACTCAATTATCAGATAAACGTAGCCGGCCTGGCTAAGGGAAAGCAAGGGGTTGGAGGTCCGACGTGAAAAGGGAAGAAAAGAAAAGGCAGAAACTGAGGACTCACACTCGGAGACCAGGGGAGATCAGGGGGCGTGGCAAGTGGAGTCTACCTAGCTGCACTTTCGCTCAACAGACAGCAGGGCGTCTAAGGGAGCCTACCTACCCAAGTACACAGTTCTTACTTGGTGCCCACACTTCAACAGAGTGAGGATAGAGACAATCCCCTTCCTGGCAGAAAAGAACACGTGGAAGTTTCAAATTTCGTGGACTTTTCCAGGCCACAAGGTCTCTGAGAATAGGGCCAGGAGTGCTGGCTAGCCGAAAAAGGACTTTACAAAGTTCTCAGACCCCTTCACCGCAGCAGCCAGTGGGGCACCGCCCTTTTACCTATTCAGGAACTGGCCTTTCTGGGTTGCCTTAGCCCTTAGGGTAAGAACCAAGAGCAGGAAGGGCCCGTGCGGCTCGCGACCCCAGCAGCTGCTGAATCTATGTCCTCAACACCACTGGGCTCCAGTGGCCCACATGTTCCCAGGACCTGCACAGTAAGAGCAAGGCGCATCCATCGCGTCTCTCGATGTCACACGCGTGGGGCGCGTTGCCCTGCAAGGAAAGGAGACGATGTTTTTCAGTGTGTTTTCTGCTGGCCTTGTGCAATCAGAATTCAACTAATGCAAGCGTCAGGCCCTCAAACAAAAGGGGCGGGCTTCTGAACTGGGGCAAAATGCGAGTCTATAGTTCACACCATGTCTTTTTCTTGCCCTTTGTACTCCATTTGGCTTGTCTATGGCTCTGTGCTGAAACCCACAGTACTCACAAGCAGCTAGACATGGGAGACGGGGTGTTGCCTGATCTCAATTGTTGGTACAACCTCCAGGGATCTAAAACCCAGGGTGTGACTTTCCTTTCCATCAAATAAAATCCTCTGAGCAAAGCCCTCACAGGATCCCTAAAACTAACCCACTTCCTTTACTTTAAGGTGTGTTGGAGGATAGGGAAACTGAGGGTCCAGATCGTTGGTGTGGGGGCTAGTTATCTGTAAACCACAGAAAACATCTGAAATTTTATCCCAATGGACTTTGCAAAGATCCCACACAGCTTATTGAAAAGAAACAAGTGTACCCACACTAAACGAGTGTACCTATCTCACAAAGCATATACTCAGAAGATCTCACTGCTCTGGCTGAAGGTGCAGGACTTACTTCATGGTAATGCTAAGATGAGAGTATGAGTAAAAAGTTAGGGTGAGACAAGTGGGGTACATTAATTGCATGGAACCTCCTCCACTGGAAATAGTCCCCAATTCATACAGACAGGAATTCAAAGCTGAAAGACAAGCCCTTTGACTTTGCTTGGTGGTGGTGATTGAGGTGGTGGTGGTGATGGGGTTTACTATTTGTGTGTTCTGGGAGGCGAACTGGCTTCATTCATGAAGCTCATGGTGGCTTGTAGACTGTCTTTCTCGATTAACATTGGCAAAGCTGCTTCTTTCTGCATTAGATCAACGATCCCCAAAGAGCCCAAGAAAATGGAGTTCATTTTTCAGTGAAGACAATGCTGTTAAAATATAGCTTCCCAGGAAGCTTTACTCCCTTAAAAGACATTGTGCAGTGCTCCACCCCTGCGGGAATTTCCGTGATGAGGTGTGTAAGCAAGAAATTCAAAGCTGTCCCACCCCCACCCCCACCCCTCAGACACTGGCCACTTCCTAAATGATTCCGCTTGAGCTTCTTTAAAGAAGTGACCCTGCTGAATTCTGACACACAGGCTTTGACTTTAAAAAGACCAGTTTTTTTTTTTTTTCTCAGTACCTTATAGATTGTGTAGGAAGCCCGAGTCTTCTTTGAAGAAGCTCATAAACCATGCGGGTAAAGCTTTGGGAAACAGAAGAAAATGAAATGGTACATACCCCTCCGAAGGCATTACATGCTAATCAAAGTATTCGTGTTTTGTTTTCTTTCTTTTCTTTCTTTCTTTCTTTCTTTCTTTCTCTCTTTCTTTCCTATATTTCTAGGTGACACAAGTATAACGAATGTAATATTCTCTGTGAACAGGTGCTGGCAAGTCTGGGAACTAGTAACGTTTTCTGAAAGGAACCATGATGAATCAACTTATCAGACTGGGTTTCCTCTGCCGCGGGAGACTCGACTCTCGGATCAAAAGCTAAAGCTTCTTCTCCCATCCCCCTTTCCCCCTTCCACGCCTCCCTAATTAAACACACCGGGGGGAGTTGGGCACCGGGGACTTAGGAACAAGGCGAGGTCTGGATACCAAAGGGACTAAACGCAAGGCCAAAGAGCTAACCACACTGGTGATCACCCAGCAGATCCCCGAACCATAACCGTAACCGCGTGAGGAGGGGAGGGAGGGAGCAGCGGTGAGAAGGGTGAGGAGAAAGGGACAGCGCGGAGATTCCTTTAAAAAAAAAAATCAAATTGTAAAAGTTCGTTCGTCTCAGTCAACCAGCTCTCAGAGCATTGACACCAACGTTTCTCCAATTTTCTTCCAATAAGTTAGCGTGTCCTCATGTTTAGTCTCATGTTTATTTTCCAAAAGGGGGGTTCATAGTTTTCTTTTATTATCTGTACTACTAAGCTCGAAAGAACCGAAGTGGAAAATCCGGACGGTTGTCTCCATGTGTATCTTGAAATAGACACCGAGAGCCGGTTTGTTGCTCCGTTGTATGCCTCAGTTTATTTTTTTAAGTTATTTAGCTTTCATTTTAAAATTTTGATTGTATGTGTATTCTACCTAATACAATTCTTCCAAAGCCAATCCAATATGTTAAAGCTAAAATTATTTTTTTCTGTTTTCTTTTTGTATTTAAAACATTTTCCTTCTCTTTATTATTTTTTTTTTCATTTCCTGTGTTTCTCCTCCTTGTCGCCAGTTTTACTACCTGGGCCTTCCCCAGACGTGTGCCTGTTAGTGGTGTTGTTCAAGAACATCTTGTCCATGCCTTTGAGCGCCTCGGTGAGATAGTTCTGCAGGGCCGTGAGCGCAGCGCAAATGGCCGGGGCGCCGAAGCCGTGCGTGATGAGACTGAAGTGCGTGAGGCAGCTTTGGATGCCAGGCTCCAGGATGGGGCTGGGCCGGCTGTTCCCGATCGGCGTCCGGTCCTGCGCCAGCAGATCCGTAAATTCTTTACAAAGTTGCCTGCGGAAAGTGAAGGAGGAAGAGAAAAGCGCCCTCAGAGTCCTGGTTACTCGCCTTGCAACCCAAACAAACTCACATAAGCCCGGAGGCGTTGGGTCTGTAGCCTGCACCAGGCTAACTTAGGCGATTCTGCTGTTTCTTTCCAAAGAGAGTTCCCTCACTCAGCAGCTGGGTCTGGAAGGGACCCAGTGAGAAGAATGTACCCCTTCCATCCTCACGCTTTTCATTTTCCCTCTCCCCTAACAGACCACCTGTATTCTGCTTTAGGAAATTCGTTAGGTATGTTGGCTTTTGATTTGGAATAGTCAGTAATTTTTAGCTGTTACCTGGCACCACTTTTCTTTAATTATTTCCCCTTCTCGCCTTTCCACCCTCTCTCTCTCTCTCTCTCTCTCTCTCTCTCTCTCTCTCTCTCTCTCTCTCTCTCTCTCTCTCTCTCTCTCTCTCTCTCTCACACACCCTCAGCCACAAGCCTGTCCCTGGCACTGAAGCAGATTGCTAGAGCCTTGCATGGCCCAGGGCAAAAACCTGTTTATTCTAGGAGAGAATGCTGATTCCATTCAAAGCAAAACCAGTTTACCTGCAGCATTTTTTGAAGAAAGATATTTCTTCCCTTCTTCTTCTTTTTTTTTTTAAAGTCCCCCCTTTTGCAAATGTAAGCTATTAAACACCTCTGTATAACAGGATTGGTGTCAATATAAAAAGATCTCTGCATAGTTTAAATAAAACTTAAAGGTAGATGGTTAAAACACTAGGGAGGGTAGATTTTTATTTGTTGAAGTTTTTTTTTTTTTATTTCCTCAAGGCACCTACAATTTAGAGAAATCTCCTAGCCTTAGGAACCCTGTGTGCCTAACTATGGATTGAGCTTATTTGAGAAATTTTTAATATAGGAAATAGATGGGAGGGGTTTAGGCCTGAAGGTAAAATGGCTTGTCTCTGCTGGCAAGCTGAGGCCTGGCATCCCAGAGGCCACAATTGGCAGGCTTCTCCTGACTACCTGCCCTCACCCAGCCTGTGATTCTGTGGGATGTCAAGAGAAGCAAACGTATATATCATACTGGACCTAAACAGCAGAGGAAGGACATGTAGCAACTAACACCTGGCCTAACTATCAGGTAAACAGGGCAGATTTCTGGGTTTGAAAGACCCTTGGGGCACCCTTCCCCAGGGTACTATGTTGCCCAGGGCTAGTAATAAAACTAATAGGGAATCACTTTTTTACCCACTGACAGCAATGGAAAGATTGGCATTCGGAAGGCCTGTGGCTAGAGCACTGATAGAGACTGTCTACCCTTTAGCTCTCCATTCATAATATATCTGTATATCCCCACAGCAAGTGACTGTGCTCACCCAGGAGGGCTGGCCGTAGTGAGGTTCACATGCACACTCCAGGCTCTGACTCACCTTCTTTCCATGTGGTCCAGACACAAACATAGTGGGAAAGCTCCCAAGGTGGTTCTGATACCCTAGGCTATCAAATAGTGGCCTTAAAAATCCTCAGGCTTCCTGGTGGGAGGGGGGAGGGCTATCAAATCATCCCTTTAGGAAACAAGTAGGTTTTATGGATCTCATTGCCTGCTTTAGACATGTTAAGGTTTTTGTTTTGTTTTGCCTGAAGTTCTCTGTATCATTTATAAAATACAACTGTTTCTTAGTATCAGATCCCAAAGCAAGAGGGTAAGAATGTAACTCGCCAACAAAAATCCATGACCTTGCTAGATGGTACATTAGCAGAAAGCCTTCTAAAAGGAGGGCGGATGCCAGGTTTTGATCGTTGGGAAAAATGATTGAAGTCTTTCCTGAAGTTTGTAATCATTTCCAAAGTGCCAAAAAAGGAAATTTTGTAGTGTGGAGAACAAATGTTTTAAGAGTCAAGCATTTAAAATCTACACAGCCCAAACCAGGCTGTAAGCAATTAAACTTCTGGGACATTAATATTTTTTGACCCTGCGGAAAGGGGCAATCAAATTCCAATCACGTCTCAAAAACATCTGGACAAATTTGAGCAAATGATTTTTCAGCCTTCCATATATTTCTTTAAATTACGCTGTCAACGGAACAAACCGCGTCCTGGAACGCTAAATAAATGAGTGCTGCTGTTTAGGCCGCGCCTGCGACAGAGAGACGTGCTGCTGCACGCAGCACCGCCCACTGCGGGCCTGAGCTGGTCATAAAACACCAACAATATGACACCGAAGCCAAAGACAGGGGTAAATCAAATAAATAGAAAACCCACTGTAAATGTTCAAATGAGCTCTAGACCTAAATTTAGCCAGAGATTTACTGTTTTCCCCTCTGGAGTTGTAGTAAATTTTACAAGTCCGTGGAAGATGACAAACAGCAACGTTGGAAATGGAGTAATTAGAGCTATGGGTAGAGATGGGCACACGTGGGCGAGATATAGACACCCTGAGCGGACACACATGGCAGTCCCCCTGATGGCAAGGAAGACCACTGCAAAGCCCAGACAGAAATGTTCACCTAGGGGTCTGCAAAGAGATGTGGGGGAAGTCTGCCTGACACCCCAGAACTGTGCAGGAAAGCTGTTAAAAGCCTGTGTTCTCTTTGTAAACCGAGAAGGGGACTGGGACAACCCCATAGCCCTCAAGTCTATTTCACCGACACACACACACACACACACACACACCCACACACACACACACACACACACACCCACACACACACACACACACACACACGCTTCAGAAGCGGGTAGCCTTCTGGCCTGCCCTAGCCTGCTCTATTTGACAAGGCACTTTGAAGCCACACCAGAGAGGCTGCACCGCTATGCCCCATCATTTCCTAAGTAGAGTTAGGTCAGGGAGAGAATCCCGGATAAGGGCCCAGGATCTTGGAAACTCACTTGGTGGCCAGCAGCATATTCTTTCTGGAGTGCAGGTCACTGGGATCCGTGTGCTGTCTGTTCAAATACTCGGACACGGCTTTAGCGGGAAACTCTGTTTCACAAATATACCCAAAATCCCGAGCTAAGTGAACAGCTTCCCCTGCAAGGAGAACAGCAGAGAATCAACGCCCAGGTAGTGAACACCTGAGGCCAGATACTGAACAAACCCAAAGCGGAGATAGATATCTGAAATAAGGATGAACTTCATAATTAAAGAGAACAGGACAAACGTTACTCTACTAGCCTCTTTGTAAGCTCTGGACAGACACCGCTCCCTCCCAAGACTGCCTCCTGTACTTTGGCTTAGGGGAAAAGTGACATAGATTCAAGAGCCACCTTCCAATTGAATCTAGACATTTGATGGGACATGTTAACCAGATTCCTCTCTTCTGTTTAAAGTATCAGTTATTACTACTTGAAATAAAATATAGAAGTGTCACCATCTTCCTACATTTCTATTAGTCAGTCTCATGTTTATAACTAATATACATAAACAAATCCAGATATGTTACTGAATATTAATAACTACATATAACATGTATATGAAAAGAGTATTTCTACTTAGCAGCAAAATAATTATTCACACTACAGTTCACACTACAATTTCCTTCCTCTTTTCAGGTTTTTCTCTTTCAGAGATTTCTGTCATTATTCTCCTACTTAAAGATATTTCACTGCACAAATATGTAACTACAGACACCAGGACACTAGGCATTCCAAAGCTTAGGAGGAAGACCCCCCTGAAAAAAACAAAAAAACAAAACATTATTACCTTTTAAAGCACAGCCTTGGGGTTTGAGAAAAGATCACAAACATGGGAAAAAAGGGGATGTTGAATTTTCTCACAGATACACTATTTGGAGGGAATGTGACTTGTTCTCAATGATACCTTAGTAATGAAAGACTTCAATAACAGTGCATACAAGAGTTCATAATACCAAAAATTGCCCGCCAAATATTGCCATTTTGGTGTGATTTCCAGCTTCTTCCCTTCTGTGCTAAAGTCTGTGTCTCATGCTAAGATTACCTTGACTGTTTTAAGGATTGTGATATTAATAATTCCCTAAAAAGCAAAATGGAATATCCACAGGCAAGGAAGAGTCAACTACTAACAAGTGGGATTTGAAAATGTGGTGATTTAAGGCCTCTGGTGGGTGAGTTTGATCGAAAAACAAAGCAAAACAAAACTTTGCTTTAAAGATGGCAAAATGCAGGACCAGCAACTCTTTGACCTCTTTGTGGCCATCACTTGGATAACATAAGATGTTGTTCTGGAAGAACAAATTCCCTACAAAAGTCATAGTATCATATCTATTAAAACATGGAAGAGAAACAAACAAACAAAAACAGGACATAGGAAGATTCCAGAGAAAATTCTCCACCGTCTTCCACATGTACCAGCTTGTCTTGTTTCCTGTTGGCCCCTCCCTACACATCAAACTGCAAACTCTCTTCTTCCAGACCACATAGATGATCTTAGTTATCATAGGCCATAGATTTCATCAGAAAACCCAAACTGACAAGAAAATTAGAAGTTTCTTAGTAAAATTATGCCCATTTAATTTACCACCAATGAATTTGCCTTGAAGATTCAACTTGTCTTTCCATACTTTTTCATAGTGGCCCCCTCCACAGTTTTATCTTAACGATTGTTGAACTTACTCAGGTATCAATAATTCATCAGGTTGTACAAGGTAAGAGACAGAACTCTGGGAGAGTCATCAGTTTTAAAATAACCATTGAGATTCAGGGACACTGAATGTTTTCTTAAGCCTTTTTAATTTTATTACCTTTATTGGGGGATAAGTGTGTAGAGGTGGGAAGAAAACCAGGAGAACCTCTCCCACCATCTTATGGAACATAAGGGTGGATATCAGGTGGTCAGGTTTGGAAGCAAGTCCCTTTTCCATCACCAGCCGCACCTGCTTTGTACTAGTAACACTTTTGCAGTTTGCAGAGACGATATTGATGGTATCATAGGAGTTCAAGCAGAGGATGCTTCAGCCACTGTGGCCAGGGAAGTGACCCCCTCCTCTGACTTGGAGATTGGGCCTAATCCCTGTTTGGAGCATAGAAAACTCTTTTTTTTTTTTTTTTTTTTTTTTTTTTGATTCCCTGAAACTGCTAGCTCCCTCTAAGTAAAAAGACCTCTGGTCTTCTCTCCTGCAGCCCCTTGACATCCAACTCATGAGGGCACAACAATCACAATGATTTCCAGTTAATCATAAAGCATGTAAAATGTCAGCCTCCAGCTGACAGTTAAGCTCAGCTACTTCAAGAAATGGCCACAAGTCTTGCTTACCTTCCACCAGGGAGGTGAGTAACGTGACATTTGCTGCTTTGCGCCTGCCCGCGGGTAAATTCAAACCGATTTTTTCTAGCCTTTCTCTCAAGGATCTCCCCCCATTTTTCGATTTGGCTCTGCAATTGCAAGAATTAACATTCTGATTAACCTCAGAGTGTTCCTGAAACAAAGTTTAGACTTAGCAATCTAGAGCCCAGTGGAGCTTGAAGAGGTTTTAACTTGAGGTTAGCACTCCTTCCTTTCGGTTATTTGCTGAGAGTTTGCTGAGGTTTGCTTAATTTCTGCCATACAGAGCATAAAAAGTAAGTCCTATTTGAAAACCTTGTGTGTGTGGGGGGGGGTGACAATACCAGATGGGATCATTAGAATGTAGGGAATGGGTCCAGAAAAGGTAAATATTGCTCATGTACATGCACAGGTTCACTCTTTGCCATGGAGCAGCGAGAAGAGCAGAATTCAGGGAAGCTTTAAAAAAAAAAGAGAGAGAGAGAGAGAGGAAAAAGAAAAGAGCTAGTTTCCAGAAACAGGCAGGCTTCTAAAGGAGTAAGCAAAATAATAATAATAATTAATAATAATAATAGCATAATGGAGTTTAAGAAGGGAAGAAAAAGTTGACATTTGCAATCAATGGTTTTTGTCATAACAACAATACTTATACTTTTGAGCTTGTTAATATGATAAACTCTTTGTATTCACCATCTCAATTCATAAATTTTATACACTCATGCTCAGGAATTGAATTAAAACATCCCCTCTCTGGAAGCTAGGGTGTGCTTGGGCACACTTTTAATCCCAGCACTCGGGAAGCAGAGACAGGCAGATCTCTGAGTTCCAGGACAGCCTAGTCTACAAAGTGAGTTCCAGGACTGCCGGGGCTACACAGAGAAACCTTGTCTCAATAATAATAATAATAGTAATAATAATAATAATAATAATAATAATAATAATAATAACATCCTGACTCTGAGGCTCAAAAGACTCACTTGAAAACCAAATACTAAGGCAACTGGAAGAGGATTCAAACTAAGAACATTTGTGGGTGAAAACCAACACCCTTAGTTTCCCTCTAGGTTCCCTACATCCTCTAAGGGCTGGGAAAAATAAAAGGAAAGTGGTTATCATGCGCAAAGCAGCCTGCTCCTGTACTTTTCAGTCAGCCACTTGTAGGAAAGAAAAGGATAGCGAACATCTAAAATGGGTTAACTTCAGAAAGTTTTGTCTCATACTAAGTCACTTAACAGGGACAGTGCCAAGAGTCCAGATGCTGGCAAGAACTGTTGTAGAGAAAATACAATAGCCATTTCTTTCTCCACTTTTACTAGGAGTCTGTCCGTGGGATGTAATGTTGGAGAGCAACTGCATAGCTACAGAAAATGACTACTAATAGTTAGAAAGTCCTATTAATGTTGTGAGATGTGATACTATTGGAGGCAGGTCACTAATGTAGAGAAGGGTTTTTCAAAATTGGAAGCACAATATACTAGTGCATTGATCTCGAGACCAATTTAGCTACTCCCTATCTGTACTTTTAAACTAGAAAATAGTATGTGGAAGGCATGATGGAAACTGCCCTTTCTGATTCAAATGAGCTTGTGTGGTGGGGAAGATAGTTCTGGGTTGAACTGAGGCTAACGCCCCAGATGTGAGTTCATGCAATTGGGAGCCATGCGAAGGCAAGAAAGTGAAAAGTTTCTAATGCTGAATTATCTAGGAGGGTTGCACATGCGCAATAAGGTCTGGGATGGGTGAGGCTTAGGTTAGAGAACTCAGCTCTTGATGTTAGACACCCTGCTAGCAGTGTCTACAGCCTTCCTGCAGCATCACACAGAGCTGCGCCTAGACTCTCAGTTGCTAGGCAACTGCGTTGGACTTTCTCCCCCCAGTCTCCACAGCACCCACCTCCACTAATTGAAGTGTGTGTGTGTGTGTGTGTGTGTGTGTGTGTGTGTGTGTGATGTAGTTTTTGTTGTTTGTTTTACTTTGTTTTACCTTCTGAGGACGCCGCCAAGGAGAGACGCATTGAGGCATTCAGGGGGCGAGAGCCGTCTCTGAACTTCTCCCACAGTCACTTTGTATTTTGAAGTTGAACTGAGTAGAGATAAACGGCCTGGGACTGAGCAAAATACCTCGCCGGTGTTGACTGACATTCCTCCCAAGAAGCCATCTTTATTCATCATTAGAGAAGTCACAGATTTGGGAGGGACAGGAACTAGGGAGAGATGGAGAGAGGAGGAAAATGTTGCCATAAAGGTGACCGATCTTCAACCCTACTGATGGTTGATAGGACGTGGCATCTGGGAAAGCCACTGGGCAGCCATCAAGTGGAAAGTGTAGGGGGAGGCCACTCCAGTGGTTCCAGGCTGCACTGCCTTCCCAGCAAGGTGAACCGCCCCAAATGTCAGCACTCCTCTGGAAACTTACCCCAGATAAGAGGACAAACGAGTGTCGCTTGCCACAGTCCTGCTCACCACACAAATCAGGGAAACACTCAACCTTCCATCTTAGATCACACAGTGAATCTAATCAAAGCCTATTTGGTCACCTGCTTCTAATGTGACCTTGGACTCCTAATCTCAGTTTCTTCCTCGGACCTACCCAGGATAACACTGTCTCATTAGGTACCTGAGACTGAAGGTTAGTATCACCGTTCTGAGATAAAATGTTAGTACCAATGATCTTTGTAGAAATTCCTCCTCTTTGACTGAACCCCAATCTGTGGCCATCACTGCAGATGGGGGTGGGGTGGGCAAAGAGCTGCTTTATGCCATATAATGAAACCTATTTTTCCCCAACATAAAAACAGCAGCAGGATTCATTTAGAAATGTACCCAAATGCTCATCTCCAGTGAGAGCAATGCAGCTGTGACATGAATTTTGTTTACAAATTAAAGCACCGGCTCGTGATTGTTTGAGCAGTTATGATTTACAACAGGTGCCCTGATCAATCAACCAATCACTGTAATTCACATGAGCAGTGGCAGTCCTGCCTTGCCCTGGTTGTTTCATTTCAGCAAGTAATTGATAACAAACCACACTCAAGGTATGTTTTATGCGGAAGTTAATAAGAACTGACAGCTGGTTGCCACTGCTACCCTGGTGCATTCAGCCTCTCCAGCCTGTGTTTCTGTTTAATTGTGTTTTGGTGTCATCTGCATGTCAGGAGGGGGCTGAGCTAGGTGGAAGGCTGGAGAATGAGGAACTGTGAACACTGTCCTGGAAGTTGTGCCCTTTGGACTTCCCCTGATTTGTGCTACTTCTTCCATGTTAATTTCTTCCATGGAGAAATATATATATATTTCTGTCCCACCTTTCTGTTAATGTCCATGTCTCACCCTATAAATCTGGCAGGAAAGGACACACTCTGCCACATGAAGTCTAGAATTTTATGAGAAAAGGTGTCTAACTTCTCTTCTACAGGACAGATAAGAGAATGCAGGGTTTCTATTTCACTTTACTCTTTACACCACAGATGTCAACATTCAGACTCCATGGATGCTGAGAGAGTTCCAACAGCTAGGTGTTTATTAATTTAATTTGATGTTTTCCAAAATCTTGTGAAAAGAGTTTCTGTAAGGCACTGGATTATTAATATTATTAATATTCTCTTTGACTACTTCTTAATCGACAAGATTGGAATTTTAGAACCTATTGTTGATGTCCAATGGTCTAGTTGGAGGAATTGTGTTGGGAAACAGAGAGCATCTTCTCTGCACTGTCATAGGCTAGGGACAAGGTACAAATGGTATTTTGATTTTCTGGGCGACCCCCCCATATTTTCTCTAAGAATTGCTTCCCATTTGAGAGTAAAGCAGCAAAGTGTCAAAGTTTTTTCATCAGACATGAGTACCTCTTGGAGTTGGTAAGTCTCTTTGTAAACGGATGCCTGGGGGGTGGAGCTATCCTGGCACTTAATTGTTGTGCACAATAGCCACATATATTTTAATCTCCTATTTTATTAGCATTCCTGATAGATAAATTTCAGGCTCATATTCGAGTCATTACATACAATTTTATACTGATGGGAAGTGGTATGACAGCAATTTGGGAAAGAGTTCCCCTAAAAGTAGATAGCCCTTTGCAGTTTTAACAAGAGAACTGTAGCAATAAGTAACATTAAAGATATCACCTTTGAAACTCGAAGCATTCTTATCTTTAACATTTTTTAGAATATTTTCATAACAAAACAAGCCCAGTAAACTGACTGTTACTGTTAGGCACAATAACCAGCATCTCTTACACAGTAGTTTTCCTATTTCCCAGATGCCACATTTCTTGAAAAATTAGGCCTTTGGAAAGACATTATACCCTGTTCTTTAACTGTCCTATTTGTTGATTGCCTGATTCAGCTTTTAGGAGCTGTGTCCTTTAGAGGGAGTAAGTGACTCCCTCCCCTGGACTGTACCTCTCTGTATATACATATACAGACACATGTGTCTTCTTAGGTGGCATACTTCCATCTTAGGAAGGTTGCCTCTCCCACTTAGGAAAAAACTCACAAGGTGAACAGAAGTGTTTTCAATTATGTTTTCATTTTCTATCAAAATCATGTTCTTACATCCTATCCTCAGGTTCTAAGACCAACTCATACCCCTTACCCTTGGTCCAGCATGGATTCCCCTAGACCAGAACCTACATATTTCTCTTCCTGGCTTTCCTTCCTGATAGCTTCCTGATCATCTCACCTTCCTGTTTGCCCTCACACCTGCTTAGCTCTGCTGATTAACCTGGTATTTTATTCCCTTCATCTTTCTCCTTCTGCTTTCCTCCAGCTTATCAATAAGCCCTGAAAGCAACAGGGCCCAGTTGATTTGTTAGTAATTATGAGCACATTGTTCCTGCTCATGGATCCCAGAGATGTCTGAGATAGGTTTAAAGCGACAGCAGGAAATACTAAGGAAATGGAGCATAGCAAGACTCCGCATGAAGCTTTAGGTTCTTCACATGTTTACAATTTTCTGTGCATACATTAAAAGTGGGTTTTCCCCATCTTCAGTTCTTAGCTGGATGGTAAAACCAACTTCTAGATGTGATACACACACACACACACACACACACACACACACACACACACCCCACCACCACCACCACCACCACCACCACTCACCCTTTCCTTTTCCTATGAATTATTATAGAAAAGAAAAAAGTCATAAATAGATTAACATCTCCTTGCAGTGAGTGGTTTTAAGAAAAAGTAAGGAAAACTAGAGAAAATATTGACTATATAGATATTAATGGGATAATACTTCGTTTCTCTTTTTAAAAATAACTTCAGGGTGAAATTACAAACCAGAGAGACAAGACCTGTATTAGAAAGAGATGGAAGAAATGTACCTGTCTCACACATAAAGGGGTTGAGTCCCCTGGAAGGGAAGAAAATGACAACTATGAGAGCTACATTGGGAAGCAATCAAGAGATTTAGCACCCTAAAAGTAAAATCACTTCTCATGATCAGGGAAGCTATTTCTCAAATTTGCATCCTTTTAAGTTTACTTCTTGTCTAAATTTTATTCCACATGTTCAACAGGAATATATATGTAGACACTGAAATTGTGATGAGATGAAACACACACACACACACACACAGAAAGAGAGAGAGGAATATATATATATATATATATATGTATATATATATATATATATATATAATATATATATATATATATGTATATATATATATATATATTTATATCCCTTAATATCCAATGTTGACATTCTTTAATGACAGAATCTGAGAACCTGAAACTTGAATAGAGTCTTATCATGTTTTTAATATGTCATCTGACCTTGAGAAAGTCATTCATCTTATCCAGTCTATGCACTTGCAGATTCCCACACTTGGGGCAAAGGAAAGGAATGTCTGACCTTTCCAGTTTTGAAATTCTATGGCTTCTGACCATTCCTTCTCTGTCTCTGTCTCTCTCTCTGTCCCTCTCTCTGTCTCTCTCTCTCTCTCTCTCTCTCTCTCTCTCTCTCTCTCTCTCTCTCTCTCTCTCTCTCTCTGTCTCTCTCTCTCTCTCTCTCTCTCTCTCTCTCTCTCTCTCTCTCTCCTCTCCCCCCCCAAAAGGCAAAGTTCTTGAGAGAAAACACACAACTGTTAAAGGGTTCTGACAGATTCAGATTCTTGGTGTGATATTCTTTCTAGGCAATAAGGAAGAATCTCAAAGGAACCTGCTAGAATTGAGATTTGGCAATTTTATAATCCTCCTCTCCAAGAAAACCCACACCAAAGTGTTTGTGTGGGGAAGGGGCCAGAACTAACGGAGAAAACATGGGAGAGCTTGGAGGTTGAACTGAAACTAACCAAACAGGATATCCCTAAGACCAATAAAAATGCCCCACAGTCACAGCATTTGAACCTTGGACTCCAGCCTCAATAACCTTTCCAAGAAATTCTGACATATTTTCTGCTGTCTAATATGTCAAACAGATTGCATGTTGGTTGCTGATTTCAAACCCCCTTTCTTTGAGCCTAGGTAAGTCTTTTAAGTTAGGCTATAAGAAGATGGCAAAGATCATCTATGTTAGCTGGGCACTCCCCCCACCCCCACTGCACCCAGATTCCTAATCTTAATGGAACTGAGAGTTAAGAATGATTTTTTAATGTCTCGTTGGATTTTTAGACTGTTAATGTAGCGAATCCTTCTCATTATTACTTTATTGATTGCTCATTGACCAGCCCCCTTCAAATCGTATTAACCACCCTCTGCCGGTTTAGATTAGGAGAGTTTAAAAAGCACCTTTCATTACTCCCCCTCCCCAACTCCTGCCATAGAGTTGAGACTAGGCAGCTTAATGGGAGCTCTAATGGGGCAGCTCAGAAGAGAGGGGCCACGGTCCCTGCCGATTGCATTAATAGCTCAAAGGGGGCCAATACAGAAAATTAGCCGTAAACGAGCTCTGGAGATCTTCAAATGAAAGAGCCGTTTATCACGCTGGCTACCTTCACTCCACTCGTTTGCTCTCTCTACTGGGAACAACTCATTTCCTCTTAACTAAATTACTTCAGAAATGTCAGCTAAGCCCACATAGCAAACATAACAAGAGAGGGAGTTTATAATGTATGGGATGATGCCAACAGGGAAGAAAAATTAGATGGGCTAAATTTTAGGAGTGGCCACGACACAACTGTACAGAAAAGACACAAAGAAAGATAAATCCATCTTTTATGCCCAGGTTGTTAGGCTGCATAAACACAGGAGCAGAGATGTGTAAGTGTAGACTAGTTGCTGGCCTTTTATTAACGAATCATAGTTTTCTAAATAACTGCCTAAATGCCCATTAGAAAACAAATTAAGCAACCAAGTCCCCTGCTAGTTGCTGAAATTTAGAATATTCAGTTCAGGAAACTTTCTCACCTCTATCCAGAATTAATCGCATAGAAGCATCCCTCATGGGGACTAGACTATGCAAAGATGGGCGAAGAGAGGCTGGCAAGGAGCTAATGAACCCATAACTTTATTTTAAGTGGTTCCTGTTGAGTTAGAAAAATAAATCAAACATTTGTTCATCCCTTGCCTGTGGCTTTTCAAAGATGAAAATGTGATATTAGGATCTCTTCTTCTTCGTGTAATAAAGCAAACATTTCAAGTATCAAATAATAGAACTGACCTAACATTCATATTTAAGCTACTCACTCCAAATCAATTAATATGGGTAGGGTGTTGCTTTAGTGTTTCAAGCCGAGCATGCTTTTAAAAAGCTTTGGGGGAAAACATGTATGTGGCAGTCTCAGAAAAACAGAGCAAGCAACTTTTTAGTCAGCACCCTCCTGTATCTCAGGAAGTAACCTCGTGCATAAATATTCATGTGTCTCTGGCAAACATATTCAAACGCTGCAACTGATGCTTCCCACAGCTAAGAAAATCATGGACCCCATTTTGCTAGGCAAGCTAAGTTCCAAATATTTTTATTGGCCTGACTATTAATAACATTTCTGATTGGTCATCTGCTGGGCATGTCCCTCTGCCAGCCAATTGATGTTGCTAGGATACCGAACCCTGAGCTAAGCTGTTCTAGCTTTCCACAAAGAGGGAGGGGGAAATTAAAACAACAATGACAAAAGGGAACAGAAAAGCTCCTCCCTCTCCCCACCCTAATCAAGCAGCAATTAACCAAAAGACTCTTGAGGAACCAGTGAAAGTGAGCCCTCAGCAGGGCTGCCAGCCTGAGCATGCACTCCCGGTATACCAGCTGAAGATGACATTAGCTAAAGAGGGGAGGGAGAAATATATAGGCAATATTTTTAAACTTATTTAAAAGACCATTCTGAAAAGGAAAAGGACCGTTCAGCTACTGTTTTCCCTGTTTACCCCACAAAGCTACATAACCATGACTTTCTAAAAGGAGAAAATTCAAAACACTTTTAACCCCTTTGGGATCCTACTACTTACTACCCCAATTTGAGGCTGGATGGATTGCTTTCTAAATTATCTTTTTTCCCTTAATTATTTTTGTGAATGTTAAGTGGCTCAAGTGAATCACAAGTGACTAAAGCTGGGGACTGTTGACTCTAAACATAAGGACTGTCTTTCTCTAGCCTCAATAGGAAAGGGCAACAGTCGTTAAAACTCTGCTTTCCAATACCAATCCGTGTGATAATTAAAGACTGCCCTGCCTACACATTCGAACTCTTAAATTTGTGGCATGTGAGTGACATTCAGGCCTTGAAGCAGCTACTCTAACCGCCAGACATTCTCTTAGTGACTGTCAGAGAAGAGGAGAAAAAAAAAAAATAAGCAGCTGCAATACGCCTGAAATGAGTTATTGTAATTACATTTAATTAGTTTAATTAGTTAATTATTTTGCTTACAGCTGTACAAGAGACTGCAAACATTTGTTAATATCACATGCCCTTTAACAGTATGGGGTGATTCCACAGTCACAGTAAATCATGTGCACATATGCAGGAAGATTTAGATGCATGCATAGTCTGTCTCATCCTCTCAGTGTGCGCATATTTAGCAAAGCATTTGGCACAATTAAAAATAATAATAAAAAGAGACAACTCATAAGACACAGAGAACTGGTACCACAATTACCACCAAACAAAAAGAAAAAATCACACCAAAAACAAGGGGAAAGAAAAGCTATATCTCCATGACACAGACTTCAACATAGCCAAATCCAGAACAACGTAATAATAGCCCATTTTTGAAACCAGTGCTTCCCAGCTGTTTCTACACATCATGAAGGCTCAGTCATATAAGATGCCTTCAGAATGGCTACCTTAGGTATGATGAGAAAAATGGTAATAGTCAGTGTAGCTCTGTTTCTCCAATCCTGGTTTCTGACAGAGTTTCCATTCTGCTTGATCCTTTTTCCCTTTTCCCAGCAGGCCCCTTAACCCAGTCTTGATAGCCATTGAACTGATTACAACAAACATTTTTTGTTTGTGATATGAAATAATGACTTCCCCCAAAGTGAAAGCTCATCATAAAGACATTGAAATCTTTGCTTACTTTTGTAAGGAAAAATCCATACTTTTTTTAATGACTGACTGGTCCAATAGGTTCATGCCGCTGTTATTGGCATCTTCAACTGACTGTGAATATAAAAACATCACCATTCAAATTGAGTGGATATTAAAGAATTGCATACATAAATCATGTCATTCTAAACGGGAGTTTCTATTATTTCCATTTATATTAATTCACAAAGGGAGGGTTTATTATTATCCTTATTATCTCCAAATCGACATAGAAATGAAATTCACTGAAATGGTAAATTCTCCCAATAGAAGAAAGAGAAAACAGAACGTACGGGAGACATCTGGGATGCAGTATTTGCTTTGTTATTATCTGAAACAGATATTACATGGGCATATAAACTTTTATATCACTTGCCCATATGAATTGTGAAAAGTTAGCAACTGCCAATTTTTTTCACCAATATTAGTTAAGACCAATTTCGGTTTCCCCCCCTTTTATCCTAGTGCATTTAACCCCAGAGCCATTTTTACAAATACATAATAGTTTACGTTATGGGATTTTAATTAAAGTGTGAGCAATTTGGAATGGAACACAAACAGCAGTACAAAAGCCTCCAGGACCTCACCCCCACAGCAGTCCACACACGTTCCTGTGAGCTATGAGCTTCTTGCTGTCAGATGACAGTCCCTACAGGAACCTGTGCAATGGCCATATACCCCCTCCAGCCAAGCTGGTGATTCTGGCCAGCCAGTTGCACACCTGTTAGGGAGGCAGTAATCACAGAAATAGGCACACAAATAATGGTGCACATACAAACAAAGGACTGGATCCTCCCAGCCAGCACCTTTGGAATCACAAGAAATATCCATCTTCACTTTCATCCCAGAAGAGGGGAAGTTTCAGCTCAGAATTGGCAGCACTTCTGAGAGAATAGTTGTCCGAGCCAGTTGCTAGCTGTCAGGACCCATGGGAACTTGCCTTCTAGCCGCGCATTGCAGGGTGTCAAAAAGCAGATTCCCTTCCACCCTCCCCACTCCCAAAGAAAATACCCACTGTCTTTCTGAATCCTGCAACTGCTTCCCTTGATCCTTTGTAACTTAAGTTCAGACCAATTTGTCACCCACTCTATTAGGAAGTGTAAAAAGAAGGTCTTGGGGATGAGGTGTTTCTACCCATTCAGGGTGCAGCACTGAACAGGGTGTGAGTCCATCACAAGAAAAAGAAAACTATCACAAACAAGCAAGTGCGGTTTGAGAAATGAGATGTTCTAACTAACCATCAGGGGGTATACTCGTTTCTTTCTTTTCCTTTTTACTAGACACTCTTCTACTCTTAGAAAGTTGAGGGTGGGCTGTTTCTCCATTCGAACTGTTGTCTAAGTTGTAGACCACCACGCACGCACATCTTGATTGTGAAGAGGTGCTTCAAAAATGTTTCATGAAACTTGTTCATAAGTTTTCAGAGGGCACTGTCACACACACAGGCCTATAGCCACACTCCCTTCACCCTTTTCTACACTCATGGGTCTGTTGGCAATGGCTATGGTTTCAGCCAGGACACAAATACTCCCCTGTGTTTGTGGGAGCGAAACCCATCCCATAAGGTCCCGGACCCATGAGCCCCCACACCTCACGCTTAGGTTGGTGCGCAAATATGTATCTACGCCTCATCAGCGACGTGGGGTAGTTGTGGTAGTTAATGAGAAGGCTCTTGTCTGATTTTCTATCTAATTACGGCCGCCTGCTGGGTTTTTGTACAGGATATTCACGCAGCATGCTGGCGCTTAATCGTCACAGGGAGGATCGTAAAGATTTAATTAGGACTGCATGCGGAAGCGCAGAAAAACAACTCAGACTCGTAATTACTAGACTTCTTTAGTTAAAAGTGATACCAGGGGTTGCTTTAAGACACAAGGGTATGTTTGAGTGTAGTGTAGTGTGTGTGTGTGTGTGTGTGTGTGTGTGTGTGTGTGTGTGCGTGTGTGTGTGAGTCTCTTAAAACCTTTTTATATGTGGATATTCATGGGTGGTATAGGTGATGGGAGGTTAGAGACCCAAGCTGTGAAGAACAAGATGCCTATGTGGCAACTGAACAAATCCACAACTAGGTGTCCCCTCGGTTCTCTTTTTCTGTGGCCATTTCCCCCTGAGTTTTTAACACTGCCCCCCTCCCCAGTGGGTGAAATGTAGCATACCCGGAACCCAGACAGCGATCTGCTAGTTTAATAGCCCCTGTGAGTAAATTGAAATAGAAATTGACAGGGTTTTATAGTTTCATTTAAAAAATATTAGAAGCATTTGGTTAATTAGCTCTCCTTTTCGCTCACAGGGCGGCAGCCTCGTGAGTGTGCCTCTAGGTCACATGAAATCCCCCCAATTCTGGACCCATAGGGTCTAGGTAGCACCCTCTGACTCTCTCTGGTCCATGGCTTTCAATGTCCTGAATGGACATATACCAGACCCTTGAGACAGAGTAAGTGACTCTGAGCTCTGACAACCACTCTGTTGTCACTTCCAGAGACCATTAAAGTGCAGTTACCTTCTTGGGTCTGTTGCTTGGTGGCTGAAAACCTGACATCCGTCCATAACTTTAGCCCCTGCCCTCTAGATCTCAAACTTGGCAGTGGACCCTTTTGGGGGAAGCTGACCAGTTACATTTCTGCATCCAAAGCATATCCCTTCTCCTTCCTTCCCTATGCCATCTCAGTCTTGCCTTAGCCTCAGGAGGCCTGTCACTGGGATCACACTGGACCAGAATCACAGAGAAACCAGCCCCACAAAAATCATGCTGAGGCTGGCATAGGCTGTATGTCGTCCACATACTCTTCAACACTTAGGGTTGCTGGAGAAGGCCCCACAGGCCTCCCCACATTGTCAGGCTATCAGCTGCAGGAAGGAGAGGGAAACAGCTAGCACTTTCTACCTCCCACAGGCTCTGAGCAAACTGCATCAGCTCAGGCCCGGTACTGGGTTCCCTTAAACACTTTAAATCCACCCAGTTCCTTTGATAAGGTTACTTGCCCAATAGCACTTCTCTGGCTTGTTTCTGGTTCCTTGTTTTGTTAGCTCCCTTTGCATTTTGCCAAACACGCAAAATCCCTTAAAATTCTGACTTAAAGAAAAAACATTCTAAAACCAAAGAAATTTGTTCCCTATTTTAGGGAGAGATTCCTGAGTCCATTGGCCTGCAGGGTGGTGGAAGTGGTGGCAGATGATGTTCATATCCCCAGTTATGGTAATGGGGATGTACAGTGTAGTGGGTGATTGTAGCATCCCTAGGGGAATGGAGGTGTGTGGTTGATCTCCTTTCATTATCCAGCACTTTGAACCATACTAAGAAAGGTTAATTTAAAAACTCCCCCCCTCCGTGCATATTACTCCAAAGCATTAAAAACAACTCGATGTTTCTTTTCTTGTATGGTATCCTGAAATGAGCACTACCTCCAGATAGGCACAGCTCAGTAAAATCAACAAAACCATCACTACTGGTACTGTGGATGAATCCAGCCGCAGGTCAGGTGATCTCTTCCTTTTTAATAACAAGGTTCCTCTAAAACAATGAACCGTCACAGACAGAGCAGAGATGACATTTCATTCTGTCACCACATTTTGGCTGTTCTTAAGTATACAACATACATGCATGCATACATACATACATACATACATACATACATACATACACACACACATACATACATTATACATTCACAGCAAAGTAAAGACTAAGGGCTTGGGCCTTGGCTACCTTCTCTTTTCCATTTTGTTTTTCTTCACTTCAGAGATAAGTCTACAATGATGCACAACAAATTCAGCTATGCCAATGAGATGCAAGTGTCAATTAAATGCTCTGTGACAATATTTATCTTTTCTGGAGACCCTTTAAACTGGGGGAAGGCCTTGTGTGAAACAGTACTGTTCAGAATCACCCTGACAGTATTTAGGAATCTTTTCTTTGATGTTTCTTTGTTTAGTTTAACCAAGTGTTCCCATCCAAGTAAGCCTCCATTGTGTAGGCTGCAGATGGGGTGCTGGCTGGGTAGGGGTAATGTTTTGAACCTTTTGTTTTAAGAAATAAACATGCGATGCCTCTTCAGAATGATAGTGACACTGGGGAAGGGTGGCAGCCATCAGAAGAGAGGGCAGAAGGGAGAGGTGGGGGACATTGCTTTACAGCCAATGAAGTGGCCTTCAGATGAAATTTCCAAAATGCTATCTGTCCTCAAGGACTCCAGAACCCAGTGGCAACTCTGTGGGTTTGTCTCTAGCGAAGATCCTATTGTCAGGTGATGGCTCTAGAATTCTGCTTGAGAAAAGGGCTCTGCAGTATTTGGACTTTCAAAGCAAAAGGGTCTTAAACAAACAGCTAATGACTCTCCTGCAGAGTGCCTTGTCATTCTTAGCACAGCTTTGCAAAGGGTGAGAACACCTGGAGCCTTCAGAGGCCCTTGTACCTTCTTGCTTAGAGTTCTGTCGTCTATACAGCCAGTACTTAGCCTACCAAGCCACCGGGACAGGAACACTTTGGGGTAATCCTGGTGCCAACTTCTTCACACAAAGCAACAGAGAATGCACAAGTCCAGGAGCTGAGTCAAGATGAAAACATTAACCTTGATGGCAATGACTGTAAACTATCACGAAAACATATTTCCTACTTCAAGATTTAATTTCCAGACGTCCCGCCATTCACAAATGGATCTCTAGAAACTGCCACCTTGTAGCCACACACTCAAACACACATTTTTGTACTGTCCGGTTGGCCCGGTTCTAAAGATGACAATCTCCCACCCCCAGAAGACCAGGTCGCCCCTCCTCCCGCATTCTTCTTTTATTATCTCTTATGTCTATTTTTTGTTTGTTTGGAATTACCTGCACATCTTCCATGCCGGGATGCCCAAGACCATGCAACGAGAGGCTGTCGCCCATGCCGGCGTCCAGGCCGTGGTGTGCCGAATGTAGCAGCACGTCCGGCCGGCGGACAGAGTGGTAGTCCCTTCGGGGGTCAAGGCCCGAGAGCTGGGGCAAGGCCGCTCTGGGCTGGGGCAGGAGAGAGCCGGCTTCTGAACCCACTTCTTGGCGCTGTCGTTGACCCCAGGGGTGCTGCTGGGGCTGATGCAGAGGATTCAGGGAATAGGGGTCGTTGACATGAGAGTAGGGGTCTTGACTCTGGTGGTAGGGTAGCGGCTGATAGGGGGGCGGGAAGTAGGGTGGCTGGAAGTCCGATGATGGTGTGTGGGACAACGGCGGGGCGCTCGAGTAGGGTCCTTGGGACACAGAGCCCAGTTGAGAGAGTCTCGAGCTATGGCTTGGGACGCCATCGTGCCGGTCCTGAGAGTAGAAAGTAGAGAAGGAGAAGGAGGGAGGGATGGACAGAGAGAGAGAGAGAGAGAGAGAGAGAGAGAGAGAGAGAGAGAGAGAGAGAGAGAGAGAGAGAGAGAGAGAGAGAGAGAGCGAGCGACGCGAGAGTTCGGCTTCTGGTCAACTTTTTCCGGGATAAGGGAAGCAAGAGGCTAAACCTTAGACCCCAAGCTGACTCAGTGCCACATGGTAAAATGTCAACAGTCCCACCGGGAAGCTTCAGGGGACTTAACTACAGCAGAAATAGGAAGCTCACCCCCTTACCCGGCCTAAAAGCCATCTTTCAAGAGTGCAAAGCAGGCAAAAGGGAGAGGAGAAGGAACTGTGTGGACAGAGATAGCGCAAAGCCTTGATTTTAGAATGTAGGACTCGAGGATGGTGTTTGCTCTTCTAAGTGTTTCTTGCCCATACCTCTTCAAGAGATCCAAAGTACACCGAGTGAACCTTTCTAATAGCTGCTACTGCTCTGGTTGAAAAAGAAAAAAGAAAAAGAAAACCCACTTCTGCCTTCCCTGGCAGGTAGCTGGCTGGCCCCGGGGCTCACACAAGCAGGAGATTCCCAGAGCAGGGAGGCATCTGCCTGATCCGAGAGCTTCCAGCCACCCCTCCCTCCCCAAGAGGAATTAAATAACTTAGTGTTTGATTGAAACGGATCTCCTCTGCAATCACACCCTAAGCCCATGTTAAATTGAGTTGTGGTTTGCAGGAGTTTTTTTCTGAGCTTGCTTTCCATATCACAGGCTATTATACTCAGGGCGTTAAAAATAAGGAACTGGAGTTGGGAGGTGAAGAGATAACCGTACATCTTTTCTCCCCCTCCTCTCCGGAGTGTAAGCCAAGTGAAAGGAGAAGGAGGAAGTGCAGGACACTAAGTTTCTCCCCATCCTTCTTGGAAATGGCAAGTGGTAAAGTCCCCCTGGTTCTTTCTGTAGAAACAGTCACCTAAATTTCCAAACTGCATTGACAAATAAAAAAAGTTTTTCGGTTCAGCCTCACCCCCTCCCAGCTGACTCTCGGGGAGCTCAGACAGGGAACACACAATGCTGAGAGAAGCAGCTGCAGCCTCGTCCAATTATGGTGCTAAATTACCAAGCCAAAGGCACTCAAAGGAAGACAGAGAGACAGAGGGAGACACACAGGGAGATGCAGAGACGGAGAGATAGTCAGAGGAGAAGGCATGCACTTCTGGTACAACGGGAATCTGAACTCACCATGGATGAATAGGTGTGGACTAACATCTGGAAAAAAAAGCCTGGTTACTGCTCAAAATCAAACAATGAATTTTCAAAAATCAAAAAGTCCAGCAGAGAAGCAAGCTGGGCACAGGAGCTGAGCTTGAGGTGTTTCCAGGACAAGCCATCAAAAAAAAAAAAAAAAAAAAAATCCCCCTCCAAGAAGATTGGAGGTGCCTGTCACAGACAAGCAGCACTGTTCATCCGTCTCACCGTCTTTTTTGGCCTCTTTTCTTCTGCGGGTTCTTTGGGGCCCCAGAAACAGTCCTCTTCCACCCGAAGCTGGGCTCAGACTGCTCGGGCGCCCCTTCCTCCCTCCGCTTGCCTACACCGCCTCATAATAATTGATATTCATGACTATTAATATTACACGAGTACTTTAAAGGGAGAATGGAGGACAAATGGAGCGTGAAGCAGCAGCGAGCTCAGAGCTCCTCCACTATTGTAAATGACGTTCATTCAGTGGAGAATTACTAGATGTAATCAGACGAGGGGGCTGGCGGAGGCAGACTGGGGGAAAAGTTTAGCAGGAAAGAGGCAGAACTTCAATTAACTGAGCTGGGACGCTCGCTCTCTCCAGGCAGCCTCTGCTCTTTGGATTCGGCAGTGTGGGGGAGCAGGGCTGGGGGGCTCCCAGGGAATGTAGGTGTTCTTGCACATGGAGGGAGACTTTCCCACCAGGGAGCAGGTTGTTGCTCGGAATGCTTGGTGTGTAGATTGAAACCCAAACTAGATAGACACTGCCTGTTTCTCTGGAGGGGAGAGAAAAGTAAATGGGTGGGCCTGTTTGTTTACTGGACGCTACACAGGGACTTTTTTTTTTTTTTTTGAATGCAGAAGATCTATTTGTTTGTTTTTGGACATAGAGTTTTCTTTTCTTTTCTTTCTTTCTTTCTTTTTTTTTAACATAGTGCTGCCTTTTCCTCTTCAGTGCTTACAGCCTGCAATTTTTACTGAGATTTAAAAATATATGCACTCGGTCTTCAAGTACACTAAAGCTATCCTTTTCAGGCAAAGCCAGGGGCAACAGAAAATCTTTTGGGATGTTTCAGGAACCCGTTCAACTGGCCTGACTGCCATTTCTGTTAAACTTCAACCGTAGCCCAGACTGAAGTAGGCTCCTTCCACCACGCGCTGTGTGCGGGTTCTCCTAGCTTTTCAGCTGAAAATTTAGGCAGCCCGGAGTAACTCACTCTCTCCTCCCTCCTCTCTGTCTTCTCTCCTCTCCCCCCTCTCCTACCCCGTCATTTGGTCCTTCTCTCACCCCTCCTTTTCTCTCCCTCGCCCCCTCTCCTCTCCCTCCCCTTTCTCTTCACCCCACTCCTTCCCCTCTCCCCCTTTTCCCATTTAGTCGTTTATTTTTCATAAGCAAAGAACCAGCATCCCTCTGATTACTTTAATCCCTCTATGTGTACCCAGAGCTATTTCTACCGCAGCCCCAGCTCCGCCAGTGACACGTTTTCTATGGGTGATGTGTTCTTTAGGAGAGTTTATCGCCCTGGACTTGAACATAATCCCGCCTGTTAGGAAAGGAAGGGAGGCCGGAGCGAAATAAGCCCTGCGAGGCGGGACAGGCACGGTCCCGCTGTACAGTCAGTACACAACTACAAAGAGGGGGCCGAAACTGGAGAAATAAGGCCCCCCTCTCTCCCTTCCTCCCTCCCTTCCTCCCTGCCGCCCTCCTTTCCTTCCTCTTATTTTCTTCTGGACTTCCTTTCCTTCTGTTTCTTTTCTCCTTCTTTCTCATTTTCTCATTAACTCCAAATGAGGTCTTGGGAATGGCGGGGCTGGGGCACACTGGGCTCTAGCTCGAGGCGTTCTTGCCGGGTGCCCCGAAGAGTCGTGGTCACTCGGGCAGACCCGGCCAGCTGGTTTGGGAAGAGCTGGCTACTGCCTCCAGACTCCCCTTAAATGGGCTAGGGGAACCACTGCCGAGCTGTAGCCCTTAGTCCCCGCAGGGCTGCCTGCTCAGGGCTCCGGGTTCTTTCCCGACCCGTTGCCAGCCTAAGCTGCCCACCTCCGTCCTGTAGTCCAGCCCAGTGCTGCGGGTGCCCGTGGCTCAGGTCTCATCGCCTCGGACTTCTGCTCTCCAACTTTTCCTGGTGCCCTCTTGCTTCGGCCGCCCCGGTTCGCTAACTCCCTTTCGCTTTCTTTTCTTTTTCGGATCTCGAAGCTTTTCTCGCAGCCTCAGAGCCATTCTTCCCTCCCTCGACGTCCCATTTTGAGTTTTGCTTCTCTTTTCGCTTGAGCTCAACAGGGGGTCTCCCCAGCTCCGGACCGTGGTGCCGGCTCCCGCCTCCGTCCCTGGCCCGGGCCTCCCCCCCCTGCCAGCCTGCTG